ACAGGCTAGGAGAATTAAGGGGTTGGTTTGGGGACAGAAGAGAATTGACAGTAAACAGGGTCAGTGGTGAGAGTGGAAGCATTTAGAGGGTTGAAATGATTGGAGTCCTTATTAAAAAGTTTTTAAAAAATATTTTTAAAATTGATTTTGAGAGAGAGTGGAAAGGACAGAGAAACATCAATGTGAGAGAGAAACATCAATGTCAGAGCGAAACATTGATCTGGCTACCTTTTGCATGCCTCCCACTGGGGATCAAGCCCGAAACCCAGACCTGTACCCTGACCAGGAATTGAACCAGCAACCTTTCAATGCCCAACCAACTGAGCACACCACCCAGGACAGTTCTTTTTACTTTTCATAATCTAGGAACTTCTTGTTTGCTATCTCAGAGAATCCACAAAACAACTAATGATACTTTTTAAAAACTTACTGTTTGCAACCAGTATTCATAGGATCTCTAAGGATAATATACAGTATTATATAAATAAACCGTACACCCTCAATATACTATAGCAGAAAGTTCCATTTCGATAATTGAATTGGGCTTGCTGTTCAGGTGTTATATGGGGTTCTGAAACAGAATTTTGTCTAGCCTGTGATTCTTTTTGCTGGTAGTTGCTGCCCTCTCTTGGACTAGTTGAGGAAATGCAGCTTTTATCCTGCATGGATCATTTTTTGCTCTCCTTACTCAAACTGAGAACTAAAACATGGATACTTTTTTTTAAAGAATTAAACCTATTTTTAATGATACACCAAGGGAAACTATTATCTTCCTTCTTAAGAAAATATGTTGACTTTTGTATCTAAAGGCAAGACTTAGTGGGCATTAAATGGGACAAGGCAGAAGAATTTGGGGAATACAGCTATTTGGGCTTTGGAATCTGGAGACTGGAGCTCCTACCCGGCTTGCCCCTAATCATGTGATCTCGATGATTTACTCCACTTGTCTGAGCTTCAGCTTCTTCACTGATACAGTGAAGAGGAGGAATATAATTTGAGGGCTTCTCCAGGGATTGTTATTTTAGGCAAGCAGCCCCAGGTTATGTTATTTGTTCATAGAAGATGTAATGACTAAGTCTCAGGCTCTGCCCTGAAGGAACTGAGTTTGGAAAAAGATAGAGGAGGCAGACAATCGAAAGACAATTGTAATCCTCTACTAGTGCTGTGTGACAAACAAGTACCTATTACTATGGAAACACAAAGAACAGTACCTGTCCAGTTAGAGGAGGTGTCATCCTGTAGGGCATCTTGGAGTTAGCCTTGAAGACATAGTAGGCTGAGGGAAGCAGCAGCCTGGGGAAAGTCGGTGGTGAGACAGCATGATCTACTTGGAACCTGTGGCTGGTTCAAGATGCCCAGAAGAGTTTGAGGTGGAGGGTTTGTTGAGATGATTCGAGGGAAAGAAGCCAGAAATGTTGTATGCCTTGCTTAGGAATTTGGATTTTGATGTGAGGGCAGTGGGGAGCTATTGAAGGGTTTTAAGTGGAGAATAACATGGACCATTCGGCATTTTAGAAAGATTACTCTTGAATATATAATATGGAGAATGAGTTGGTGTGGTGCAGATGGGACTGAAAGCAGGGAGATCAGTTAGGAGGCTCTTGCAGTAAATCAAGCAGGAGATAATAGTGGTGTGAACTTGGGTAGTAGTAGTGAGGATGGATGGAAGAGAAAAAAGAGTCTGTACACAGAAGGAACAGGTTGCTGGTTTCCCTGAATCTGAACAATCCAGCTGGCACTGATTTATTACATCCAGGTTCTGTTACCTATGTTACTTACATCCTTCCAAGAATTGTTTAGGTTTTGCTTGGTTCTAGGGGACATTTTGTGTTTGGAGGACAAGATGCTGGAAGCAATTGGTCTCAGAGCAAATAATTTTGACCTTGGCAATGGCAACCTAAACTATACACACTCAACTCATCCTTTTTGTGGCTGTGTCACTTCTCTGTGCCAGGCCACTTAGGGTGGTGATCAAAGGAATTGCTAGTCTACTTGGGTGTTGCTGTCTGTCCTTCATCATCCTTCTGTCTTCACTTACTTGATGCAGCACACATCAAGTAACTAAATTCTGTTGATGCTGAGCAAAGTTCTTATAGTTTCAAATGATTAGCACTCAGTCAGTGGAAGCTTGACTTCCTCAACCATGGAGGGCAAAATTAAGATTCACAGTTTAACTGGATTTAACTGAGAACTCTGACATGGGGACCATGAACACAATGATACAGATTTTTCTTGTCCATAAAAAAGTTAGTAAAATAGCTTTGTGGCAGGGTCAGAGGTTTGAGGAGGGTCAAAACGTATTCACTGTACTCTTCTAAGGACATTAGCAAAAGAACATGGCTTAAAAATTAATTATTAGGGTGAAAAAGAATTCCTGCCTTCCCACACCTGCTCATTCAGACTTTTTCTAGTAAAGTATAGCATGTATACAGAAGAGAACATAAAACACATAGAATAATTATAAACCAAACACCTATATAACCAGCATCCATGTAAAGAAGTAGAATATTGTAAGCTCTCAAGAAGCCCCCTTGTTTATTTTTGCAGTCACAATTTTCACCCACCCCAAGTAACCACTTTTTTGACATTTGTGGATATAATTTTATATCCTAAATAATATAATTTAGTTTTACATGTTTTTAAACTCAGTGTAAGTTAAATAATACATTCATCTTTGTGAGTAACCGTAAGTTCATTCACTTTTTTAATTGATTTTTTTAGAGAGAGGAGGGGAGAGAGAGAGAGAGAGAGAGAAAGAGAGAGAGAGAGGCATCAATGTAAGAGAGCAACATTGATTGGTTTCCAGTAACCAAACCTGCAACCTGGTATGTGCCCTGACTAGGAATTGAACCTGCCACCTTTTGATATATGGGACAATGCTCCAACCAACTGAGTCACATTGGCCAGGGCCATTCATTTTCTTTCCTGCCACCTTTTGATATATGGGACAAATTTTTTTTTTTTTAAATATATTTTATTGATTTTTTACAGAGAGGAAGGGAGAGGGATAGAGAGTTAGAAACATCGATGAGAGAGAAACATCAATCAGCTGCCTCTACACACCTCCTAGTGGGGATGTGCTGCAACCGAGGTACATGCCCTTGACCGGAATCGAACCCGGTACCTTTCAGTCCGCAGGCCGACGCTCTATCCACTGAGCCAAACTGGTTAGGGTTCATTGTCTTTAAGTAATCAATTTCCACTGTACCAATATACCAGTTTACCCATTCTAGTCATTATGGCTATTTGGATGGTTCTCTGTTTTAGATAGTATAGTGTTGCTGTGAACATTCTCATTAAATGCATCCTGCTATATATGTGCAAGTTTCTACAGAGTAGATATATAAAAATCAATTTGTTGAGGTGTAGTATATTAAATTTACTAGATAATGCCCATACTATTTTCCAAAGTGGCCATAGCAATTTACATTACCAACTATGTGTGAGAGCTTCCGCTGCTCTGTGACCTGACAGACATGAAAATTTTTGCCAATCTCGGTGAGTGCAAAACGATATCTCATTGTAGTTTTAGTTTGCATTTCCTTGTTTACCAATAAAATTGTGCACATTTCATAGGTTTATTGTTCATTGGATTCAGAGTCCTTTCAGGTCGCCGTCTCTTTCTTTTTTCTTCAATGAGCCATATGTTAGTGATCTTAAAATTCTTCTTGCCTCTTAAGAGAATGTGCTAAGGAATAGTTGGGGAGAAATCTTTTAGCTTGTGAGAAGTCACTTAGATCCTTTCAAGGAATTTTCTCTTCTTTTTTCTCCCAACTCATGCATGTGCCTGGCACTCTCACTGGCTTCCAGGATTACCACTTTCTTTCTACCAATATATTTTTTATTGATTTCAGAAAGTAAGGGAGAGGGAGAGATAAAAACATCAGTGACAAGAGAAATTTATCAATCAGCTGCCTCCTGCACGACCCCTACTAGGGATGGAGCCCACAACCCAGGCATGTGCTCTGACCATGACCTCCTGGTTCATGGGTCCGATTCTCAACCCCTGGCCCACACTGGCTGGGCTCACTTTCCTTAAACTTCAAGCGAACTTGCAGTCTGGATGCCACTCATATCACTTGAAGCCCCATAATGCTTGCAGATACTTGTTGCTATTATTTTCAAACAGGTAGAGCTGACAAGCTGCAGCTTATCGGTGACTTTTTTATTTGAGCAACTCTGCTTGAGGTCTGAGGAATGGTTCATGAGCATTTTGTTGGCAGAAAGGTGGCATATATACCCCTGAATTACATAGTAATCTTTGCAAGGGGATTTTGAAGAATATGTATTAAACTTTTGCTGCCTACATAAAACAAGTGCTATGGCATGTACAGAAGAAAGAAAAAGGAATGGTTTCTGGTTTTAAGGCAGGGGTGGGGAACCTTTTTTCTGCTAAGGGCCATATGGATATTTATAACATCATTCTTGGACCATACAAAATTATCAACTTAAAAATTAGCCTGCTGTGTTTGGTCAGACATTTAATTAACTCACCCCTAATGCCTTGGTGCAGGGCCAGACCAAATTATTTCGAGGGCTTTATATGGCCCGCAGGCTGAACATTCCCCACTCCTGTTCTAAGGCTCATTTATTCTCTGTGACTTACATCTATTAAAATCTGTGGTCATGTTTACCTCTGGAAGGGAAAGATCCTCTGGGGGCTTGGCCAGATTTATTATTGGATAGCTAGAGGGAAACAAAGGGCATTTAATTGAGATAGCTCAGTACATGAAATGCTTTCAGTTCTGTGCTACTAGAAATGGCAAGGAAGCTCAAGAACAAAGTTTTCTCTTTTTGGAGAGGTTCCAAATCTTAATACTCCAGTCCTTTTATATTTGTGTAAACATGAGAATACAGAGTCAGTATACTAAATTAGATATTAGATATGAAGAAGGCTGTTTTATTAATGCCAGAAGAATCTTGGACTAATCACAAACCAGAGGAATCATGTGTGTAGAAGAGGCTATTTAATGTGTATGTGAAAATGGATCGCTGCTAATAACTTTTTTCTCTTTCTCAGCTGGAGAGATTTACCAGCATGAGAATTAAGAAGGAGAAGGAAAAGCCCAATTCTTCTCATAGAAATTCATCATACGGGGATGATCCCTCAGGACAGTCATTGCAAGATATTTCAGATGAGCAAGTTTTAATACTTTTTGAACAGATGCTGGTAAGTTTCCCATCCCAAAATGTTGTTTCTTTCTGGTAATGCATTTGGGCATAGTGAGCCCTTTTTTGGTGCACATTCCCTCTAACTAGCCCTTAATTACAAAGAATTCCAGGCTTAACAGAGAACTTCTTACTAGCAGTTCCATTAATGAAGGGACTAAATATATAAGCACCAGTATATAAGATTTGAATCTGTGAGTTAGGCTTGGAAATGTCTGATCACAGACCACCTTGTTAATGTATTTCTGCCCAGCAACACTTTAGCCACAAAGACCTAGGGGGAGTGGGTCAGTTCCTGTGGTAGTGTAGAGACTTGGGTTAGCCAGAGTAGATGAAGTGTTGAAACATTCACAGCGAACTCTGTACAAAGGAGAGACTGAGGAATGGAAAGGCATCATTTGCCCAAGGTCTTCTATTCAATGGCGAATTTAGAAAGAGAATTCTGATGCTATATTCACTAAGAAGACCTTTAAAGCCTGTGACTGAAGCCAGTTAAGTAATGACGTATACATGGATGTGGCTTACTTTGCTGTTCTTAGTGAGGAACACTGAGTCGGGAGGACACTCGGTGAATGTCCATTAGTGATAAGTCTTGGAAAGTTTTGAGTACGTGCTTTTAAGATTTCATAAGACTCGTATAATGCCTGGATATATGATCTCAGATTCAAATAGAGACTAGTGCAGGCCTCACTTAATTAAAAGCATGAGCTTAAAATCCTTAAGATAGGACCTGGTTTATAGTAAATACTCAACTAATACTACTATTATTTTTCACTGAAGCTTTTAGTTCATCTCTTAGTAATCCAAGTACCTTAAGAGTCTGAGTGTGATCTATTGAGACAGTCTCCTTGCTGGATTACAAACTTAGATGTCTTTAGGGCCAGGGAGGTAGCATAAATAAGTTAATAGAAGATGATAGAAATGAAGACTGTGGTAAAATGAAGAAAGACTTTTGGCATTTTTGTTAGTTCCTATAGGTTTTGTAGCATTCCAGTTGGGAATACTGGTGCAGTAGTGGCAGATATTCTATTTTTAGAAGAAGCTAGAAATTTGTAATAAAAACCCCCACCACAATAATTCTTTTTTTTTTTAAATATATTTTATTGATTTTTTACAGAGAGGAAGGGAGAGAGATAGAGAGTTAGAAACATCGATGAGAGAGAAACATCAATCAGCTGCCTCCTGCACATCTCCCACTGGGGATGTGCCCGCAACCCAGGTACATGCCCTTGACCGGAATCGAACCTGGGTCCTTTCAGTCCGCAAGCCGACGCTCTATCCACTGAGCCAAACCGGTTTCGGCCACAATAATTCTTTAATAGTATCAAATATCATAGCTAACATCCAGAATTCCCCAATTAAGTCATTTAAAAAATACTTTTTTAATTCAAATCACAATTCCATATAAGGTCCATTATACTTAAGTTTCATTTAATCTATAGGATTTTCTATAGAAACAGTTTGACTTGTAGAGTTTCTCCCACAATCTGAAATTTGATACTAGAAATTCATATTTTTATTTGAAGTTTCCCAAATTTAAAATGTTGAGTTAATCAAGCAAAACATACTTTATTTTTGGGTCTGATTCAATGTGAAGGCCAGCAGTTGGCAAATTCTGTGTTCAATTTATCTGTAAAATGAGGGGGACAGCACCAGGAATTGAGTCAGAAAATGTCAAATTAATACTGCTATTTGGGAGCAGTGACCCCTCCCCCCCCCACCCTGCACACACACACACACAAACACACCAAGAAAAAACAGATTATATCTATTGCTCCCCTGTGTTTGCCTCATTTCAAATAATATTCTGGACTTCTTAGGGTTAAACTTGTGCTCCCTGAGATGCTGAGCTCAGACACATAGGCTCATACATGTCATAGGCTCAAGTAGAGCCTTTCTCCCATAACACATTGCAGGTTATGTCTGTTGAGGGGCTTTTTCACAGTTTCCAGAGGACTGTGTGAAGTGGGGATAATGGGTGTTTAGGCCCTAGTGCTGTAGAATTGGCTGGTGTCGATTTTGCTGTTGTTTGAATGATGTCAGTCACTCAGTACTTCAGTCTAATAGATTATTAAGGTCCATCCTACGTGCAAAAAACGTGTGCTTTTCGTTCAGTATAGTACAAATAAAATTTTCATTTAATATTGAGTCCATTTTTATTAGGAAAATGTTAAGTGTATCTATAATAATAAAAGCACAATATGCTAATTAGACCAGACGTCCTTCCGGATGACCCCCGGACAAAGCCGGGGCTGTTGCCTCGGCGGGCGGGGGCTGAGGCAGAGGTGGCTTCTGCGGCGCTGCAGCGTAGGTGGGGACCGGGCCCCTTCCACAAATTTTGTGCATTGGCCTCTAGTATGTATAAAAATGTCTACAAGGATTTATACTAAAATATTAACCACACCTGTCCCTGAGGAATGTTCATCATCTGTAATGGCTGAACTCTCTAGGGGTCAGGAAAATTTATTTATTCAATAAGCATTTAATGTGTTCAGCTCTTCACTAAATATATAAAATATTAAACACTGAAAACTTGTAAGGAAGTTGAGGCATTTTTGTTTTTTCCCTTTTTCCTCTACTAGGTGGACATGAACCTGAATGAGGAGAAACAGCAACCTTTGAGAGAAAAGGACATTATTATCAAGAGGGAGATGGTGTCCCAATACTTGCACACCTCCAAGGCTGTGAGTTCTGGGGCAGGTACCCCATGACACACTTTGCCCTTATCTTGGACCTGTTTGTTTTGCCAATTTCCTAGAACATTTTATGTCTGTATCAGTTCTGTTTCATTCTGTTATACAAGCCTATTTGCTTTGTACTTACACTTAAGTTATCAATCTCACATACTTTTTGTCTGATTCCATTTTCATGAAGTGTATATGGGGAATGGGGTGGGAAATTCTGAGTCTCACATGGTTTGGTGGTATGTGTGAGGGGTATTTGCCTTGATATTATTTAAACTGTATTGACTAATACTAGTCCAGTTTATGACTGGGTCCAGGGTTTACTGATCTCTCTCTGTGCTCCTTTCTAGGGCATGAGCCAAAAGGAGAGCTCTCGGTCTCCCATGATGTACATTCAGGAGTTGAGGTCAGGCTTGCGGGATATGTCTCTGCTCAGCTGCCTGGAGTCCCTTCGTGTCTCCCTCAACAACAACCCTGTCAGGTGAGATTTTGAGGTAGTATCAGGAGTAAGAGCTCAGGGTTAAGAGTTCACTGGTGGGGACTGATGATGAATAGCGTCAGGGAAGTATGAAAATGTTCTAGATAGGGAGTAAGAAGTTGCCAGGATAAACTTTGTTTTTGTACCGATGAAATTATTGATGTGATTAATATTGCATTGTCTATGTCTGTTCCTTACAGCTGGGTGCAAACATTTGGTGCTGAGGGCCTGGCCTCCTTGCTGGACATCCTTAAACGACTCCATGATGAGAAAGAGGAGACTGCTGGGTAAGGACTTCCAAGTTTTGACATCTTCTAGGTAGAGATTGGTAGGGGACTTGGCTATTTGCTTTAAAGGAGAAAATAGCAGTTAAATGTAAAGTTATGGACTAGGGGAATATCCTGTTAGCTGAGAATGGGGTTTATCATAGGGGTGACTAGAGTGAGAATGATGATTATAGATATAGGAAAAGGAGGAGGAACTTAAATTTCCTGGTGAATAACACAGGATATATTTCACATAAGATTATGAGTCTCTCAGCCTAGGTTCTTATCTCATCTGGAAATAGGGTCTGATTTAGTCTAGAGCTCCCCTGTGATCTGATCTGGGTCATATCTAATCTGGAAGTCTTACAGTGCACTTCATCAGTTCAGAACTAGCTTTATGATAGTCTTCAGGGTTAGAATAATCCTAGGGATACCTTAGACCAGCCGTGGGCAAACTACGGCCCGCGGGCCGGATCCGGCCCGTTCGGCTGTTCTGTTCGGCCCGCGGAGCCGAAAGAGCGGAGGATTCTCTTGCTCTCCCCTCCGCTCCTTCACCAGCAGCAGTGTTAATATGTATTAGTTCACACAAACACTCCATCCATGCTTTTGTTCCGGCCCTCCGGTCCAGTTTAAGAACCCATTGTGGCCCTCGAGTCAAAAAGTTTGTCCACCCCTGCCTTAGACTGTCTTAGCTTTTCTTGAAGCCAGCCTGACCCAAAGCACCTTCTTTACTTTCTGGAATCTTTCAAAAACAAGACACAGGGCCTATACCTCCTGAATACAGACTTTAAGTAGTAATAGATGGAATATTATCCTGATAGAATTTAGTACTTTGGAGCCGAGAGGGAATTAATGGGAAGATTTTAATGTAATTCTAAATCTTGGATTTTGAGAGGATTAACCAAAGGTCTTTGATTGTGGGGATCCCTCTTTAGCTACCTGTTTTTACTAGTGTTTCACAGCAAAGTGCCATGGGCTAGAATGTACTCAGATACTAGTTGGGGATGTTCCATAGACCCTTGTTTGCAAGACTGAAAAGTCAAATGGGAGAGGGGTATAGAATAAGGGGACTTCAGTGATTATGTTTTCTACATGCAGGAGCTATGATAGCCGTAACAAGCATGAGATCATTCGCTGCTTGAAAGCTTTTATGAACAACAAGGTGAGATTTTCCCCCATTGCAACCCCATCATGACCCCTATTCTTTCTCTTCTATTGGCAAACACCAAAAAGGACTGAGGAATATGAAGTTCAAGATTTCTAGCTTTCCCTTTTAGTATTATGACTTTTGATTGCCACATATACATGCTTCTTTGGACCCTTTCCCCCAGTTGTAATGTGTTTCAGAGAGTAGGGTCATTTTTTTTCCCTTTTTATAGTTTTCTTTTGCTAATTCTTGAATTTCCTGACTTGTAGTTACTGTTTTTTAAAGGTTTATGTTTGGGTTTGTTTTCCCAGACAGTCATACTGTTAAAATCTCCCTCCCTCTCTTGCCCTCCCTCCCTTCCCCTTTCTCTTCCCTTCCCTTTCCTTCCTTTCTTTTGTATTTAAAACCAGGGAACCCATGGTTATTTGTTCCTGAGTAAAATCTATCTTCCTCGCTATTTAATTTTGTTATAATTAACTTATTCCATTGGGTTGGGGTGGGGGACATTAAAAAGAAACATAAAAATCCAAGATTTGAACTCTTGGAAGACATAGAAGTCTGTTGTGAATCTACTAGAAAATTACTTTGCCATGCTAATTTCTGTTTGGCTCCATTGGGGAAAGTATTCTACCCCTATATTAGTTTGCTAGGGCTGCTGTAACAAAGTACTACAAATTGGGTGTCTTAAACAACAGAAATTTATTGTCTCACAGTTTGGAGACTAGAAGTCCAAGATCAAGGTGTTGGCAGGGTTGGTTCCTTCTGAAGTCTGTGAGGGAGAGTACGTTCCCTGCCTTTCTCCTAGCTTCTAGTGGCTTGCTGGCAGCATCTGGCATTCCTTGACATGTAGATGCATCTCCCCAACCTCTGCCTTCATTTTCACATGGCATTCTCCTTGTGTGCATGTTTATGTCCACATTTCCCTTTTTTATAAGGACAAGTCATTGGATTTAGGACTCCACCCTATTCTTATATGACCTTGTTGTAACTGGGAGTTAAAACTTCAATGTAAGAATTTTGGAGGGAAATACTATAATGACTCCTAAATGTGTCCTGCGTTAGATGCTGTCATCTTTAAGCCTCCCTTCTCTGTTCTTGTCGTGCCAGTTTGGAATCAAGACCATGTTAGAGACAGAAGAAGGAATCCTGCTGCTGGTCAGAGCCATGGATCCTGCTGTTCCCAACATGATGATTGATGCAGCTAAGCTGCTTTCTGCTCTTTGTATCCTACCACAGCCAGAGGACATGTATGTGACGAATTATTTCTCTTCATCGTCTTTTTTACCATCTTCCCTAGTCTAGAGGAAAATTGAGTTGTTTGGGTGGCCACTTGGTTTTAAATATGTATTTTTTCTCAGACATGAACACCGTGAATCTTAATATTTTATTTAAGGAAGATAGTTAGGAGATGGGGGCTATCCTGAAAGTACCACTGGTTATAGTCAAATAGCTCCAGATCTCCATCTGTGTTGTCTAGGGACAAGGGTTTCTTTTTCCATTTTTTTTTTTAAAGATCAGAAACAACACAATATTATTCTTTAAAGTCCAAACAACACAGAAATATAGAAAATAAAATTTACCAACCTTATGCCTTTGGCAAATCCTATTCTGCAGAGATTAACCACTGTTAATGACTTGATACTGTCTCATATATCTTTTTCTAGCACAGAAAAATATATTGCATTTCCTAGATTCTAAGATATCTTATACCACTCCAAAAATGGTATTCTAGAACTAAGAAAAAATGGCTTTTGCCTACAAAACCGATTTCATGTATAATACAAATTTTTATTTTTTTGTGGAGGTGTTTAACAAAAGCTAGATCATACCATTAATTTTTTTCAGCTTGTTTTTATTTAACAGGAGATTTTAGACATTCTTTTATGTCAACATTTATTGATATCTTTCCTGGCTATTTAAGATTCCATATTCTGTATATTGCATAATTTATTTAACAATTTTTCCATTTTTTAAAGCATACCTGGCTCTTGCTCTAGGTGATAAGAATTTTTACTGTTGCAAATGATTCTATAATGAGCATCCTCGTACATCAGGGGTGGGGAATGTCCAGCGGGCCGTATAAGGCCCGTGAAATCATTTAGTCTGGTGCTGCTGAGGCATTAGGGGTGAGTTAATTAAATGTTTGACCAAAATAGCAGGCTAATTTTTAAGTTGATGATTTTGTATGGCCCGAGAATGATGTTATAAATATACAAATGGCCCTTGGCAGAGAAAAGGCCCCCACCCCTGTTGTACATCTATTCTTTCACATTTATTCATTTATGTTTGATAGATTTCTACACATAGGGCAAATGTTATGTGCATTCAAAATTGGTATTATTAAATGTCCCTCCAAAAGTTGTACCAATTTATATTCCATAGAACAGGGGTCTTAATTATAGGTAGGAGTCTTAAGGATGGGTTTTAGGGTACATTTTTCTGAAGAGATCATCCTTAGCTTTCAGCACATTCTGGCCCCTGTTCTAGGTGATGAGGAGAATAATGTGAGAAATCCAGAACACTGATAATGTTGCATTTCCTAACTGATCTATGTCCCTGCATAACTACTTGCTATGTGTGTCTGTGTCAGAGCACCTGGGCAATTCTCTCCCTTTCTTTTCTCCTGGGCAGGAATGAAAGGGTTTTGGAAGCCATGACAGAAAGAGCTGAGATGGATGAGGTGGAACGTTTCCAGCCACTGCTGGATGGACTAAAAAGTGAGACCTCCATTGCACTCAAGGCATGTATATCCCCTGAAACTGGGCTCAAGAGTAGAATTCTACATGGAAAGACTTAAGTTCATTTGAACTTTTAATAGAGCACATGGAATGGTTCCCAACTATATATTTTATAATTTGTTAGGAAAGGGAAATGATTATCCTTCTCTCCAAGCAGGCAGAGAAAGAACTGTCCCTCATTATGAAATGGGGAAAATATATCTATTCACAAATTAGGAAAACCAAGACCTAGAGCAAAGTATACCATCAAATCCTTGGAATTATTTAGACCTCTGAGCTCTCCAGACCTGTGCTCAAACCAGGTCATATTGCTCTAGCAAAAAGTCATTCTTGTAGCATTTTCTAGGTTGTATTTGGGGTCCTCGGAATGCATGTAACAAGATTGAAATCTTTATATTTAGGAGTTTACACTGACATAAGCTGCTGAATTTTTTAATTTTAGGTGGGATGCCTACAGCTAATCAATGCTCTCATCACACCAGCTGAAGAACTTGACTTCCGAATTCACATCCGAAGTGAACTGATGCGCTTGGGGCTGCATCAAGTGTTGAAGGTGAGATGCAGCCTTTCATTACAAAGGCTGGACTGATTGCTTCCTGCTCTTACAGCCTAGTCATCCTAGGGATAACTTGGGTTTTCAATTTAAAAACCAGGTTGAAAGGCTTGGGTTTTTAGTCAACATAGGACACTTCTGGGTTCTCTGACTTCTATTTTTGTTGTGGACAGGATCTTCGGAAGATCGAAAATGATGATATGAGAGTGCAGCTAGCTGTGTTTGAGGAGCAAGGGGATGAAGATTCCTTTGACCTGAAGGGACGGCTGGATGACATTCGAATGGAGATGGAATATCCTTTAACTGACTGCGTTCAAGACAGGAAACATTCAGTTGTAGATACTTTCATGGAATGGTGTGGGGGTGATGACATCAGCATGCATGTCTTCTTGGTAGATAAGGCAGGTGTCTTTGATTTCTATTGGATTTATTTACCTCAGCACGGACCAGGAAAGTTAGGAAAGGTGATCTGAGGGTTGTTTAGCATGGAAGCAGCCCTCGGAATTAGTATAGACCTCCTAGAACATGATAGCTTAACTTACTAAAATGTAGAGTTGGTTTTAGAGAATATATACAAGTCAGGGAGTAGGGTTATAATTTGCTTTCTTGTATGTGTTCCTGAAACTGACGGAGTAATTTGGTTACCTATTGATATTTACCACAAGTGACTTTGGGACAGTTATCTTTTAGTTTCTGATTGATCTTCAAGCCAAATACTAGCAATCCTCTATCTCTGTATTGTACCATCAAATCATTGGTCCCTTTGCTAAAGAAAGTTTATAGAGCTTAAAGTTTCAGACAATAATTACAGGAAGAACAGCTGTTAGAATAGAAGAGCATCTTGCTACTTTTCCTGAGAGTTGGGTATGCCACCTCTCATAGTATCTAAATATATGCTTTCCTTAGCGTCTTCCTCTTTCCCACTGATTTCAGTGAAGTCTTCCAATTTCTCTTAAACACGGTGAAGGACTCAAAGGCAGAGGCACACTTCCTGTCCATTCTGCAGCACCTACTCTTAGTCCGAAATGACTACGAGGCCAGGTAAAATGGTATACCTGTGGGAGGTTTTGAATTTAAGCCTAAGTGGAAAGAACAAAATCCTTAAGTTCAAAGATTGTCTGTGAAGGGAAAAAGAAAAGGCAAGAATTAGGTTTCATTTTTAGTCATAGATATAAAGAGAGTGTCAGGGGTCCCTTTAATCCAACTGAAAGGCATCTCTATGGAAGAAGTCACAATGTCTAAGGTACAATGCCCTTCCTTTTTTGGTAGTGTGGAGTGAAGATGATAGCAAAAGGGGGTAAATTTAAAGTTCTCTTAGGTTGTCTGAAAGTAAAGATTTAGCAGTAGTACTGTCCATTGACAGGAAGGCTCAAGCCCAAGTTTTTAGATGGGAAAGGATTGGCACTAGAAGGCAGATGGCAAGAAGTTTGACTCTCTGAAGTAGATGGGGTACCTGATATGGAAGTGGTTTCTTAGATGGCAGCCATACTTCTGTTAATTTTATGAAAAGGTCTTTTCCAGAGCACTTTCCTCAGGTCCCTCTATTGTCAAAGCAGTTACCTTTTTTTTTATCCTGAATACTTCTGAAAATTATATTGTGGTTTTCCTTTTATTTCTTCCATAGACCGCAGTATTATAGGTTGATTGAAGAATGTATTTCTCAGATAGTTTTGCACAAGAATGGGGCTGATCCTGACTTCAAGTGCCGGCACCTCCAGATTGATATTGAGGGATTGATTGGTAAGTGAATTCATCCATCTGGTTCCTTAACATACTGCTTCTGCCTTACGTTTTGTATCTTCCAGTGAAAATTTCAGGGAAGATATCTTTCTGGTTCTCAGGTATTTCCATGTTGTCCTTTTCTTAGGTGTTAACCAACATCTGTGTTAAAAATATATAGGCCTTAAGTTTATTTCTACATAATTTTAAAATTTAACCCTTTCTCACACACTACCCCATCTTTTGAAGGGGCTTCAGCTGTAAGCGAGGACTCTGGCTAGTTTCAGAAATTCATAAGTAAGACTTGTAGGCGTTCTTCATGCCATTCAGCATGGTGACCTTACCAGCCACATAAGCATCTTATGTTGAACTTAACTGAAGGTTCTTTTTTTAGTGCAGAGCATTAAGAAAGCCAATACAAATAAACAAAAGGACCAAAGACTGCCCTGGTTATATTGAAGGGCTTAGGCAGTGACGGGGAAAACAAGAGAATTGGGACTTTACTTCCTGACTCTTCTTCTTTTCAGATCAAATGATTGATAAAACAAAGGTAGAGAAATCTGAAGCCAAAGCTACAGAGCTGGAAAAAAAGGTGGGTGTGAGAGAAAAAACAATTGGGTGTATCATTCTTTTTCTAAGGATTATGATATTTCTAACATGTGAAAAATACCTGAGATGTTTTGAAAGTATTCAGCACACGATAACAGTTCCTAGTTATCAATAGCAAGTGGATATGAATGTGATCATGAGTAGCTAGTTAATGTGACTTTGCACAGTTTTGGACCCCTGGGCAGGACAGGAAAGACAGCCAGCACTCATATAATACTGAGAGCACTCTTGGGTTTACTTGGCATCTCGGGCCTCTTATCCCTGGAACAATAGGAACTGGAATATATCTGAATTCTCCTTTTCTCTTCAGTTGTTAAAGACTCCTTTTGTGGTTGATAGGTCTTGATCCTAGAGACTACTGGGATTATACACCATGGCTGACCTGATTAAATGTCTTTAAAATCTTAAGTGTTTGTTTTTTAATTATAACTCCAAAAATAGATAAACTATGGAAATGGTCTCTTGTTCCCCCTCTTTTATCCATGATTTTCAGGTCAGAATCATGGTGTTCTTTTTTTCCCAGGCATTCCCTGGGTCAGTGAGCTCTATGGATCAGAGATTGGCACAAAACAGTAAATTATGGGGAATAACGCTATGCTTCTTGCTAAGATAGCTTACTGGGAGCCTGATTCCTTTCTCCTCTAGCTGGATGTAGAGTTAACAGCCCGACATGAGCTACAGGTGGAAATGAAAAAGATGGAAAGTGACTTCGAGCAGAAGCTCCAGGATCTTCAGGGAGAAAAGGATGCATTGGGTTCTGAAAAGCAACAGATTGCCACCGAGAAACAGGACCTGGAAGCAGAGGTGTCTCAGCTCACAGGACAGGTAATGTCTGAGCAGGGAAGGCAGGGTGACCTGTAACTGCCATCAGCAGCCTCAGAATGAGTCTGTCTTGGAGCAGGAGTCATCTTACTCCCAGGGAGGGTTCAGCTACTAGTAGGTAATCTAGTTAGATTGTGAATATTTTATTTATTTTTTTTAATATATTTTATTGATTTATTTTTACAGAGAGGAAGGGAGAGAGAGATAGAGAGTTAGAAACATCGATGAGAGAGAAACATCGATCAGCTGCCTCCTGCACATCTCCCACTGGGGTTGTGCCCGCAACCCAGGTACATGCCCTTGACCGGAATCGAACCTGGGACGTTTCAGTCTGCAGGCCGACGCTCTATCCACTGAGCCAAACCGGTTTCGGCTGATCGTGAATATTTTAAAAATCTTTTACTTTTTTTGTTTGTTTTGTTTTGGAGATTAGTAATACATAAGATAGAAAATTTGAAAAATACAGAACAACATAGAATAAAATAATTCACAGCACTACCCAGAAATAGATAATACTCTTCTAATAAATTTAGAAGTAGAAACTAAATAAATTGTTCTCATATTTGTTTATATTCTCCTATTTGTCATCTCTGGGCAGATTGGACAGATTTTTCCTTACACATTCTCTCTGCAGCTATAAATATTTGAATGATCTGTGATATCTGATAACTTGATCACTTATGTAGTTACATGATTACCTGTATAGCACATGTGTTAATTATGTAACTAGAATATTTGATTTACTTGGTCTTTGCATTTTCTAATCAAAGGGAGAATTTAACATAAAGGTTGAAGTTGCCTTTTATATATACCGTATTTGCCGGCGTATAAGACGACTGGGCGTATAAGACGACCCCCTAACATTTCCACTCAAAATACAGAGTTTGTTATATACTTGCCGTATAAGACTACCCCCTCTTCCGCACACCTTCCACACACCAAATAAAAGGTAAAACAATATCAGATTTGATTTTAACATTTTAATTTA